ACTCCCTCCCGGGTGGCAGTCCCTGGCTTTATCCCTGGCTGTCTGTATCACTTCAGGTTTCTGGTGGGGTCTAGGTCCTGCTGGTTTCATCTGTATTCTGCTGAGGATGTGTGGCTGGTCCTCAAGTGGCTCCAAGGTCAGAACTACAGTGTCTGCTTTTTTCATCCCAGGACTCAGTGCTGGTTTCTGGCATTTGTGGAACCGTGCCCTGGGAGTTACAACCTCTTGTTTCCCAGACAACCTCCTGTTCTCTAGAAGGACAAGGGCTCCATTTCTGTTCAGCTCCTCTGGATTTCATCACCTTTTCTCTGTAAACATGCTGGGCTTCTTAGCAAATTGTCTACGTTCACCTTGAATCTTTGGGTCCTTTACATCTGGCAGAGCCTGTGGGGCCAGCCCTACTAGGCTCCTCCAACCCCATGTTACCATGGCCCCGGAAGGGTCAGTCCTTCCCCTCTTGTAAAATGTGTTTTAGCTCAGGAGCCCTGCCCAAAGGTTGGAGATAGTGCTTCAGAGATACCATTTCCATTGCTGGATGTTCCCCCCACCCCCCGTGCTTCTACTTCTCTTTCAGGCATTACTCTCTGTTCCACCTCTTCTGTTGACACCCCATCCTAGGCTCCCTGTCTTAGTAAATGGCAACTCCAGCCTTTCAACTGCCCAGGCCAGAAGTCTTTGCATCATCATTGATTCCTTCCTCTTTCCATCTCCCGTACATCAGCAAGTCCCGTCAGCTATACCTCCAAAATCCAAAACCTGTCTGAGCAGTGAGGGACTTCTTTCTTCCTGGTGTGAATGACCCTGTTGACCCATGACATATCAGCTAGAGAATCAAACCAGAGGTTAGAAGAAATGAATGCAAGTTTCAGATCTTCAACATTGTGACTAATAAAATAATAAGTTGCTATGTGTTAGCAACTTATGTTCTAGGCACTAAATCCTTTACATGGATTATTTCATTCGCTCTGTGACCTTGAGCTGATGACTTTACCTCCATTTCTTCATCTCTAAAATGGAGATAACAACAGTTCACAGGGAAATTGTGAGGATGTAATGAAATAATGTATGTGAGAGTCTTTTGAAAAAAAAAACACCATATATGTATGCCATATTTTCACCAAAGACCCAAATGGATCATCTTCAGGCCGTTGAAAAGTCCACATTGCACAGAGGAGAGGTGTTGGCAAAGTTCCGACTGATGGTGAATTTGATAGCCCAGCTTTGTGAGGGCAGAATGTGAGGCCCATGGTGGTGCTTTATCTGTTACCTGAGATCGGGGTGTCTGTCTCCTGGCACAAATGTGACACCTGTTGCAGGAAAAACAGGCCCTGGCAACTGGCACTCTGGGAAGAGAGGTCTGGCCAGGAGCAGGATGAGTTTACTTAGAAGAGGGTAAGTGACAAGTGTCATTCTTTAGCTCCAAGTTCCCCCCTGGGGGCTAAGCAATGCCTGAATATCCACTGACAGGAATAATAATG